TAGGTGCCTTTTGCCTGGAGCGCTAGGAACTGGGAAAGGGTGGAGGTGCCTAAATCAATCGGATTATGCCTTGAGCCCTAGGAACTGGGTAAAGGTGGGTGCCCTAGAGTGTGCAGGTAACAAATTTGGTGGAGAATGTGGACAGCCTATGGTCATTTGGACTGAACTGATAGAGCTTCACACAGTGAATAATTGTAGAAAAGTAATAGCAGCAGAATACCTGTGCATTTTTTCAATAAGGGCCACTACCTACTTGACAGAATAACCATTCTGAAGCTTCAGGAGGGAACAAAGAAAAGGAGCAGGAGGGGTGAGGGTTAGCTGAAGAGCCCACCTTCCTTGCTAAATGGGTAGCAGAACAAGGTCCATGCCCATGGGGATAAGATTCTTTCCAGGGGAGGGATGTCCTTGAGTCTGCTTGTAAGGGGTTTAAAGTAGGGCTGCTGATTAATCACCATTAACTCACACGATTAACTAAAATAAATAAATCGCGATGAATTGCACTGTTAAACAATAGAATACCAATTGAAATGTATTAAATATTTTTGGATTTTTTTTACATTTTCAAATATCTATTTCAATTACATCACAGAATACAAGTGTACTCACTTTATATTTTTTATTATAAATATTTGCACTGTAAAAAACAAAGAAATAATATTTTTCAATTCACCTCATACAAGTACTGTAGTGAAATCTTTTTATCATGAAAGTGCAACTTACAAATGTAGGGTTTTTTTGTTATGTAACTGCACTCAAAAACAAAACAATGTAAAACTTTAGAGCCTATTAGTCCACTCAGTCCTACTTTTGGGCAGCCAATTGCTAAGACAAACAAGTTTGTTTACATTTAAGGGAGATAATGCTACCCACTTCTTAATTACAATGTCACCTGAAAGTGAGAACAGGCTGTCGCGTGGCACTGTTGTAGCTGGCACTGCAAGATATTTACGTGCCAGATGTGCTAAAGATACATATGCCTCTTCATGCTTTGGCCATCATTCTAGGGGACATGCTTCCATGCTGATGACGCCTGTTTAAAAAAATGGGTTAATTAAATTTGTGACTGAACTCCTTGGGGAAGAACTGTATGTTTCCTGCTCTGTTTTACCCACATTCCGCCATATATTTCATGTTATAGCAGACTCGGATGATGACCCAGCACATTTTATTAGTTTTAAAAACACTTTCACTGCCAATTTGATAAAATGAAAAAGAAGATACGAATGTGAAATTTCTAAAGATAGCTACAGCACTGGACCCAAGATTAAAGAATCTGAAGTGCCTTCCAAAAATCTTAAAGATAGCTACAGCACTGGACCCAAGATTAAAGAATCTGAAGTGCCTTCCAAAAATCTGAGAGGGATGAGGTGTGGAACATGCTCTCAGAAGTCTTAAAAGAGCAACACACTGATGTGGAAACTACAGAACCCACCAAAAAAGAAAATCAACCTTCTGCTAGTGGCATCTAACTCAGATGATGTAAATGAACATGCATCGGTCCACACTTCTTTGGATCGTTATTGAGAAGAACCCATCATCAGCATGTCCTCTGGAATGGTAGTTGAAGCATCAAAGGACAAATGAATCTTTAGTGCATCTGGCACGTAAATATCTTGTGACTCCAGCTACAACAGTGCCATTCAAAGGCCTGTTCTCACTTTCAGGTGACATTGTAAACAAGAAGGAGGCAGCATTATCTTCTGCAAATGTAAACAGACTTGTCTGTCTGAGCAATTGGCTGAACAAGAAGTAGGACTGAGTAGACTTGTAGACTCTAAAGTTTTACGTTGTTTTATTTTTGAATGCAGGTTTTTTTATACATAATTCTACATTTGTAGATTCAACTTTCATGATAAAGAGATTGCACTACAGTACTTGTATTCGGTGAATTGAAAAATACTATATATTTTGTTTTTTACGGTGCAAAAACTTGTAGTCAAAAATAAATATAAAGAGATCACTGTACACTTTGTATTCTGTGTTGTAATTGAAATCAATCTATTTGCAAATGTAGAAAACAACCAAAAATATTTAAATAAATAGCATTCTATTCTTGTTTAATTGCGCGTTTAATCACTTGACAGCCCTAGTTTAAAGCATTCTGTAAACGCATAAAGCAAAAAACAAAGAAAAAAATGCTAGCAAAGCAGCAGCAACATGGGCTTTATGGAAAGCTGTCACTAATCTTTCAGCCTGGTAGCACTCCAGGAAAGACAACTGAAGGATTACAAATTAGAGTTGGATATAGTTAAGGATAATTTGGCTCAGTATAAGGCACCGCAGTGCGCCAGTGAAGCTTCAGCATTACAGAATGCAACAGCCTTATAGGCAAAAACAGGAGAGTGTGAACATTTAAAACTGAAAGTAGAAAACCTGATTGGAGAAGTATCTACATTGCAAATGAAACTAGGGGATGCTCAGGCAGCTGTCAGAACAGTGTTACAAGAAAATAAGGCTTGGGCCCAGATAAACAGTGACCAGATATGGGCAGCTGCGCAGTTATTGGGACCCCTAGAAAGGAACATCTGTCTGGACTGGATGGTGAAGGTGTTGGCACAATCTGGATGGAGGCCAGCAGATTATGAGGTCTTAGCCCAGGCCTGCACTAGTGCTTCTGACTGCGCAGTAATACGGACTGCTGAGGAGTGGTTAGGTGCAAACCGTGTTCTTGCTACCAGATGGGACTGGGTGAAGGAAGGAAGTAATGTTGGTCCGACAACACTGGAAATTGTTCCTTGTAATACTACAGGGCCCCTGTGAGTCCCCAGAATTGTATGACATTAAAAAGGAAATACTGGCCATAGCTGCCAGGGTTGTGCCAATAGTAACTGGAACCCAACTGGATTTCAATGCTTTAGCTTTTAAGACTGCATTGTTAGATGGTTTGAATTAAAAAATGAAGGTGAATTTAGGATCTATAGATCCAGCTAGTGGGTACCCCGAGTTAAAACAGGACATTTTTCAAGCAGCTATAGTTTTTCAAGACACGTTGGGACAGAAGAAGGAACTGACAGGAGAATGGAACCCGACCAGGCGGTAACTTTTGCCAAGAACGGGCCCCCAGATTTCCAAGGGGAACCAGGGGAAAAGGGGCATGATGCACCGTGGCATGTTGGAGGAAGAGAACAGGGAGGTGCAAGGGACAGCAGAGGAGCAAGAGGAAGAAATGGATACGGGTATCAGATGCAGAATAGAGAAAGAAGATGCACACAGGGAATGAAGGCATAGAGGAAGCTCATAATGGCAGGAGAACCAAAAGAGACATGGGAGGGGAAGCCCACAAGTGAGTTATTGCAGAGGGTTGTCCAGTTAGAAAGGCAAGAGGAATTGACTGACAGGGCTCCTGTAACTCCCATAACGGAGTCTATCGTTGGTGCCACTCCAATAGTGGTGCCCGCCTCCTCGGACTTCCCCTGAGGTACTGGCCCAACTACAGTATGACAAATGGGGGCGTCTCATTGTAGGGGCAACAAAGGGGAGATCTGGGAAACAAACATGCCCCACAATGTTAATTGACACAGGTGCATCAGTATGTATGCTTGGAGAGCAGTGGCTTCCCAGGGATGCTTTGGAAACCGAAAATTCAACACAACTAATATCATATACAGGGGAGACAATGAAAGCATTTATCACAAGACCAATCCTGACCTGTATAGGAAATCAGGAGTCATGCGTAAAATATTGTTTTCAGAAGCAGGATCAAATTGGGAATGGGTCTGCCTAAATCAACCGGGTTATGCCTTGAGCTCTAGGAACTGGGTTAAGGTGGGTGCCCTAAAGTGGGCAGGAAATACTTAGGATTCAAAGCTGTGCACATTACTTTAAAACTCAAAAAAAGAATTATATTTACACTTGTTCCCAGCGGTTAGCAGAGAAAAGCAGATGCACTGTGTGGTCTTCCAAATTGCTCTTGTTCTCCAAGTAGGAGCTAATTAGCCGCCCAATTTCTGTTGTTCTGTCTAGAAAGAGTACAAGAACAAGTCTGGTGAGTTATGCAGTCTCTTGCTTCAGTTACTGTGCAATATGACTTAAGATTTACGCCATGTACAAATTCCATGGAACAAATATTTTAAACCCAAAACTAAAACCAGTCATGCTTGGACATACATGTTCTGAAAATCCAACTGTTCAATTTTTAAAAATTGCTACACAAAGAGAATTTTCAAGTTGCAATGTAAACAAACAAACAAAAACCAAAAAACAAACAACAACAAAAAACTAGGAGATGCCATAATATGGGAAGCACAACCTCAACGGCAGAGTAAAAATAAAAGGAGTAAATGCACTAAATGTAGGGAAATGTGACACAAAAGCTATGTGTCCTGGCCTTTCTAGTGTGGCAATACATTCCCACCACAAAGGATTCACTGTGACAGCCAAGGGACCATGCGACACCACAGCTGAGAATGCAGCTACAGGTATCAGTGTTACATTCCCCAATGTTTTCAGAGGCCTCTCCCCAAGTGGGGGGGGGGGGCATGCCCCAGGGCAAAGCAAACACTAGCTATGAAGACATATACCTTTAAGATGATTAGACCTCTAACTGTACATGGCAGGCATGAAAAGAAGGGCAAGACACAGCACCATTGGTTTTATTTTCCTGAAGGGATACCTAGCTTTCAAACTTTGGGGGACACTGCTTACTGGAAAGCCACAGCAATCACCAGCCCTTGGTGTGCACTCCTCAGGGCCCCCCACCCCTTGTCAGAGGGCTAAATGGGGCTGCCCCACCCTGCATCAGTGGAGTTAACGGTGCTAACGCCTCCCCCAACTTCCCCACACCCGTCAGTGAGGTTAGTGGTGTCTCCCCCCTTCTGCCACAGGGATTAGCAATGTCCTCTGTTCCCTCCATGTCACTGGGGTTGGCAGTGACCCTTATGTCACGGCGGTAACGGTGCCCCACCCTTCCCTCCATGTCATGGGGGTTGGCAGCATTCCCGCAATTACAGGGGTTAGCATTGCCCCCACTTCCCCTTCATGTCACTTGGTTTGGCGGTGCCCACCCACCTGTAGTACCCCCCCCCCATATCACGGGGGTTGGTGGTGCTCCCCACCTACCCTCCCATGTCCATATCACGTGGGTTGGGGACGGCAAGGCGCAGGGGGGGGGCGCACAGGAAAGGTGGGGGAGGGCCAGACTCCCCCCGTACCCGGGAATCGCAGGAGCTCGGCGAGGTGCCCAGATGCCTTCAGCGCTTCCACCAGCCTCCGGCTCTGCGTGGTCTTCCCGGTCCGGTCCACACCCTCCAGCACCACCAGCGCCCCGCGTCTACACGCCATGGCCGAGGCGGCACGCGCCACAACCGTTACCACTCTTGGAGAGACAGGCGCGGGAAGGAGGAGCGTCTGCTTCCGGAGAACCATAGAGAGCCACGCGGGGACAGTTTGGACAGCAGGGGCCGCCCCAGGCCTCCAAGGCGGAGCCCCACCCCATCTGCCTAGCCCCGCCGGGGGGCAAGAGCACACGCAGGGGCGGCTCTAGCTTTTTTGCCGCCCCAAGAACGGCAGGCAGGCTGCCTTCCGCGGCTTGCCTGCGGGAGGTCCGCCGGTCCCGCGGCTTCGGCGTACCTGCCGCCGAATTCGCGGGATCGGCGGACCTCCCGCAGGCAAGCCGCGGAAGGCAGCCTG